GGAGCCACTTAGACATTGAAAACTAATCACATATTGTAGAGCGGAATTAATTCATGTAATATTTACATGATTTTCTTGCAAACGTTCTTGTCCGAAAATAGTTTCCCTTCAATGAACTCGGATAAAATGAATGTGGGTTAATTAAAATTGTTATCATTGCTGTCAGTTTTTGCTTCACTTTCGGTAGAAACTTTTTGCAGTGGTTTTTGGGTATAATTGTTTTATCCTATTCTTACATTGTTACAAATTATACAATGATCTATACTTGAAATATGTAAGTACAACGTACTATAAATCCGACTACTGTAACCGGAGCCACTTAAACAATGAAAACTAATCACATATTGTAGAGCGAAATTAATAGAGAAATTCAACTTAATTCCACGTTGAAACGTTGTATTGAACTGAAAACTTATTGGCTCAAACAACTGAAGTTGAAATTCTTCGTTTCCATTCTGCAAGGTGGTTCGGTTTTCTTTGTCTAAGGTTATAGTAGTCGCACTGTAAATTTACACAGATAAAATTTAATCAACACTTTTGTAATTCAAGTATTATTTCTTTCAATTTCTCAGGTGATGTGTCCCAACCGTCCGAGCCTGGATTTTAACGAAAACTGAGAGCTGTTAAATTATGAGTGGTTATAAATATAGTTTTGTAAAAGTTTTAAATTTATTGTATTAAATTATAATAATAAAAAGTGAATCTTACCTAATTAATTTCTGTTGTATGGATGGCGTGTCTCGATAGAATACGAGCAGTCCCTTTTTCCCTTGAGCGAGGAGAGGACAAAAATAGCCGCGCGAAATCTGGGGGAGAGACGCGCGACTCTTACGCTTACATTCCCGAAATCCTTCTATCTAACTTTAAAACATAGACTGGAAAATGCGCGCGCTCTGATTGGTTAAAAACCATGTTTTATCAGAGTATAAATCATAGAAAAGCGTGTTTTATCGTTTCGCGCGCGTAAATCTATATTTTAAAGCAAATAAAGAAGCCAAAACCATGTATCATACTGTCATAAAACACGACGGGAATTTGAGAACACTTGAGAAATATAGAAAACACTCGCCTGCGGCTCGTGTTTTCTAAATTTCTCTCGTGTTCTCAAATTCCCGTCGTGTTTTATGACAGTATAATACATGGTTTTGGCTTCTTTATTTGTTAAATAAATAAACAATAGCCTCCATTTGGCTTCAAAAATATGCTCGGATATTTGTCCGCGGACATTATCTGTTCCGAGAAGCGAACAGTTTTCCGAGAGCGAAGCTCGAGGAAAACTGTGAGCTTCGAGGAACAGATAATGTCCAAGGACAAATATCCGAGCATATTTTTGAAGCCAAATGGAGGCTATTGTAGTTATTATCCTTCAAATATTTTTTTCACAAGGCCGCTCTGTTTGCCGTGGAAGATCTCGGTCGGCCAAGCTGTTAAACATCAAAATAATTCTGTTGGCGTTCAAAAATATTTCTAGTCTATTCAAAACAATCAGTTTTATTTAATTTAGCAATTTATTTGAGACGAAAACTGAACCTGCGAACGTGAAACGCAAATTTTCAAAACTGGGGAATATCACTTGGGGAATATCACCCGGATATTCCCCAGTTTTGGCTGCGTCACGTGACGTGTTTAGACCAATCGCGCGCGAGAAAAAATTTTGATGGATTATAATATCACATAAACGAACTTAGGGCTTTTACCTTTATGCTTAAATGCAGACAAATAACGATAAACAAGCTCGTCGATCTAGCAAAACAGAACTGAATAAGGAATGCAACTAACAATTTTATACTGAATACAAACATGCATACATACTAAAGGAATAAAAGCTAAAAATAACAATGCCCAAATTGGAATGAGAAAAATCATGAGATGTTTATTTGATTAGTATCCTAATTGAAAATATTAAATTTCTATTTACCTTTTGCAATTGCACTTTTCTGTTTGCTTTTAAACAACTATACGTAAAACCGAAATCGGAACAAATGTCATTCTTGTTGAATTGAAGGAAAAAGAAGCCTTTTTAATTTTCAAGTGATACAGAGACCATAACTCATACACGAGTAGAGCCTACATGATCTTAAAACTGTATTTCAGCACGTGAGAATAACACGCACTTCAACTGATTTTGACAAAAATGGTAAATATTTTCCTGCCACTATTCCGCACATGGTTCTATAAAAGCTGTATATATTCTTATCATTCATCTCAACATTCAATACAATTTTTCTTTGGTGAACGATAAAGTCTTGACAATTGTCCTTAAAGTGTATTCTATCAAAATTTGTGTCGTAGTTGTACAATCAAATATGTATATCAAACTACGTTTGTCACAGCTGTAGTAATTGCCAACAGAGTTTTAAATTTGCACAGTTGTCTAATACCTAAAATAAATATCATAAGTGATTATGGATACTTACTTACCTATATCGTGTATAGTATTGCTCAGAATATGTACCAAGATAGAGCGTTGTAAAGCTCAGAGCAGTTAATACCATTTTCCCTAAAGCCTTGACTGTTTTCTGTTTTGCTGACATAACGGGTCTTTGTCAAAGCAGAAACAGAAAAACGTCCAATTAGACCGTATTTACCCGAGTAGCTTTGACGTACGTTATGAAAATTTTATACTGAGGTCTTATTCGGATAAGCCCCCTTGGCTATTTGATATTGTGATAACATTCAATTCCTAGTTGGATATAACTGCTGTTTTCTTCGAGAATTCTTTTAGAAGCATTCCCCAGGTGATATTTACATTTTCTTGCAAACGTTTTTGTCCGAAAATAGTTTCGCTTCAATGAATGATAAAAATGAATGTGGGTTGATTAAAATTGTTATCATTGCTGTCAGTTTTTGCTTCACTTTCGGTAGAAACTTTTTGCAGCGGTGGTTTTTGAGTATAATTGTGTTATCCTATTCTTACGTTGTTACAAATTATACAATGAACAATACTTGAAATATGTAAACTTGTACAACTATAAATCGCAGATAAAAGAATCATTTATGAACGTTTTTTAAGATTTGACAGTACTGAAAAAACCCCGATAATTTTGCCTTGGTGATTTGATATCTTTATATGATCTAGCCCTAATTATCTAACTGTGGGTTGTCTTGTTGCTTCTTAGCTATAGAAATAAAGGTTATTTATCAAGCGAATATTTACTTCTATTTTTGGATTCAAATACATTTACAGAGTAAATAAGTCAACCCTGGATTACATGTCGGTATCGGTATATAGTCGAACCTCCACTGGCGACTAACCTCCCTATAACGGGCACTTCTCTGACGTCACTGAGCGGCGACACCGAGTGAGTTGACAATGAGTACATCTTCCGATAATCTTCTCGTGCGCATGATGACGTCATAAGCCTCGGTATTTTGGTGATTTTAGTGAAATAGATATATGTTATTGTTATTGTGTTTTTCCTTCTTAGTAGTTAAAATTAGCAGTCGATATAAATATCAAGTTGTAATTTGTGTTTTTGCAGTATGCAGTCAAGCTCAGTATTCACAAACTTATATTCCTGTTGTTTTTTTAATGTAACTTAGTTACTTGTAGTTTTTATTCTTAAATGTAAACAGAAGCCACGTGTTGTGCGGCTTGAGCACCCACGAGAATAAATTGGGTACCAGCGAATTGTTAGAGTAACCTGTGAAAATTGCTTAGTTAACCTGCGATGCCGCTAGCATCCCATCCAGGGGGAGTAGCGATACTCCTAGTCGCTTCATGCTACAGAAACCGGAGTTAAGTGCCATCACTGATGAACCACCTGGCTCCTCGGAACTCATGGCCGGTGGAACAGAGAGTAACCTTACCTTTCCTTAGTCCCATGGTAACAACGAGAAATTTTTAGTTTCGTATCTAATTGGTAGAGATAACACTCTCACCATCTGGCAAAGTATTCACGGTTCAACGCCAAGCCTTGTCATCAAAATTCACCTTCACCTTTTTTATAATTTTGTTTTAATCCCCCAAAGAAAAAATAATTCTAAATCAATGTTTGTAATGAAAAGTTATGAATTGCAATTGATGACTGTTGTGGACGAAATTTGTTTTTGTTTTTCTCTCCTTAGAATCAGATTCCGCAAGAACTGATATATGTTGTGAGAAATGTCATAGAGGTTATTGTTTGACCAGATTGCGATAAACTTTATGTTTAGCAGGCGACCTCACTTAAGAAATGCGGTGCCTTTGCTTTATTGTTTCTTTATTTATTTCCCTTTCACTCCCAAGAGTGCTAAGTTTAAAACTGAGAATTTCATTTTGTAAAATTGTCAAAAATAAACAGCATCACGTAAAAGTACTGCTCAATACCTTTCAATTGAATGGTCACACACTAGGGCTTCATTCGCAGACTTAAAAGTTTGTTTAATGTACTTTGTTGAATGTCAGGTTTGGCTTTTCAACTTAAGATAGCAAAATTGCCCCTTTTAGTGAAGAATTGTACTACTTTAACCACTTCTGCGAACAATTTTTAATTTTACTTGCGAGAGAATACATGATTATGAACATCTGTCAAGCTTTAGTGACGTCAGAAACAATCTTACAAATCGGGAAATCTGAAAACTAAATTGAATGTTATAGATGTATTTTTATATGTTTGTATTTCCACCAAATTTATCCGAAACCGTACCCTCATCCGAAAATGCAAGCCCTGATATATTGCTGTCAAAAGTGAACCAATTAATTTATCTTCAAGTTTTATTATAATTTAAATCTTTTTTTCTAATTCACGATATAATTATCGAGCAAGATAGTCTCTTGTCGTCGAACGCATGCACAAATTACAGGTAATATGATGATTTTTTTTTTTTAGAAAATGTCAAGGACGCTGTTTCCTCGACAAGTTAGAAAATGGATTATACAGACCTCAGTCTTACAAACAGATCATTTCATCACTTTACACTCTATCCGCAGTTCACTGATTTCATTCATTTTGTTGCTTAGTATTCTATCACTTTCAAGGGAACATATGAACTCACAATTGACCTTGCTCCCAATGTGTGGTTTCATATCTCAGTTTGTGGAGCATCGCAATAGTAACGCGGAGGTCATGGGTTCAAATCCCGTTGAAGCCAGAATTTTTTCAGACTTCTTTGCAATTACTTCTCAGTAAATTGCAAACGCAACTGTGAGGATCATCTCTTCACTTGACAGTTTATGTTAAGGATATAAAAATAGGTTGAAATACAACATTTAGTACCTTAAGAAACTGACTGCGCATGGCTCCATTCCATAGAGTAAACGCACTGCCGCCACCATTTCATCGAGTGTCAACTGTATCGCATCGCTCTAATCATCGCTCTTTATACTTTTAGTCTTATATTTTATTTATCTATTTATTTATTTATTTAATTATTTATTTTCATTTACACAGGGCCTACATTAATAGCAGTTATTCATAACTGAAGTAGTTACCCTGTTTAATTATTATTTCGGATTCCGCGTTTTTAGTTAAAATAATTTTAATTGCCAGACTTCAGTCTGTAATATCTCCTGTGTGATTTACATAATTGAGATTGTTTCATTAATTGCGTGAAAAAAGTCATGGATTATAAAGAAGAAAGAAAAAAGTGTTAAGAGATATATATATATTTTAGTTCAAAATTATACTTTCCCCAGTGGAAAGAATATTATTGCAATAATCAAAGTGAACCTTTTGGCATAATCAAAATTTTTATGGAAGGGCGTGACAAGTTGCACTGCACCACTTACTTATAATTCTTGAATTCTCTTTGTTTACAGAAGAAAAGACGTTATTCAAACACGTTTGCCGCCGCCGCTTGAGTTTGTTTGTGCTTGTTATCCTCGACACGTTAGCTGGACTTAAATAAAATTAAATGCATTCAGGATTTACTGTACTCTGATAAACTGTGCTTATACGTTTTAACAGAAAAATATTTCTTGGTTGTGTAATATTTTAAAGAAATTAAAAACAACATCCTTCGGCATTTTTCATTCATTTTTTAGCAGCGTCGCTGGACTAAAAGGTTTCATTAATACAAATCAAAAATCCGTGTAAGGCCAGCTTGTTTTATATCCGTGGTTTTCAAAGATGTTTTTTTTCCGCTGACGAAAATGGATCCGGTTTCAGTAGTGTGTGGTGAAAGTGCGCCACAAATTTACGTCTGTAAAAATTAAATAACAAAAACAAAATTGGAGAAGTTTTTATTTTATTTTTACCAGGACATCACGCAAACGTTATATTCACCGAATATTTTATTTCACCTGAAGGTTTCACAATTTTAGCATGGTTTTGTAGCGTATGAAAAGATAATTTAAAATCAGTCTGCTCAGCAACGAATGCTGAAGGCAAAAAGCCACAGAGGGACATTAATGGCCACAACCACAGAGGAACTTTAATGGGTGGAATTGAACAAAGTTTAAACCAATTACTCAACTGAGAACCAATTACTCGAGCACGTTTTCAAGCTTTTGAAAAAAAACTGAATTACTGAAAGACGCTGACATAATTGTTTGTTAATATGTGGCTAAGTGTCATCATCTGTTTGGCCGATAAAAGCCACCTTTTACGCGGTTAAGTGCAGCCACGATGTCTCGTTGCTCCGTCGTGCAAAACTAAACGGCGCTAGCATAAGAACCTTTTACATCATATAACCCACTTCATGAAACCTTTTCTTACTACAACGACCAGTTCCTTAAAGGGGCTACGTCACGGATGGCGCATCTTGAAAAAATTGGCAATTTTTTTCAAGTTCGCCGTTCGCAATCCGTTTTAATCTTCTCCATCCTCAACCATCCTTGTTCCAGTTTGGTTTATTATCACCTCTTTGGTGTTTTTCTACCTTAGTAAACAATTATTTCGAGGCATTCTTCAATTTAAAGGTGATTTTGCACTTCGCAAAAATGACTTAAAATATCGTGACATAGCTCCTTTAACTTTCCCACGAGGACTTTAATAGAGCGAGAAGAGCCTGAACAGTTTTTGGGCGAGCATCAGCTCTTTCCACTCGCTTTTTTCGCTTCAATTTTCGATCTATGGGGGAAGATAGGGGGACTGCTTGTAGTCTAAAGTTTCAGGCAACGCCAAGATTTGAAATACTTTATTCCCAAAAGCTGAGTAAAGCTCAGTGATAATTCTCTAATGTTCTATAGTCGCATGGCTTTCAAGAGTGGCTTTCTTCAATTTTAATCACCAAGTCAGCTGAACAACAAAAGAATCTGAATGAGTCAGTAAAATTCAATTTATTCTCAGGTATTCATTGTCAAACCAGAAGCTCTCCATTTCCGTGCATTCAATTGTTCGGGCAAAAGTACAGATTTTCAATGACAAACAAAATAAATATAAGTCATGCGTAAATAGTCTGCCTGGTAAACAAACAAACTTTCGCACTCAGAGAAGGCTGAAATTAAAAATTGATTCACTGAAAAAGCTTTTTGTAATAATAAAACACGACAAGCTTTCAAACTTTTTCGTAAACAGCGATCAAGCCCTCTTCTCCCTTAAGGACGTTCGCGCCCATTGCTAGTGCGCATCCTTACTGCGCACGCTATTCATGCCGCATGCGCGCGTCACGTCATGCATCCAGCGCGCGCGCTAAGAATGGAACTGGACAATAAATATAGAGCTGGAGGCCAAGGATTTTACTCTCTTGGATGCACGGTGACCCCTGCTTTTCTTTTCATAGATCAGTTCCTTTACTGATTCTCTCCATTTTAACAAAAAACAAACAAATTCTGAACGTGAGAAGTTTTGATTATTTCGCTTTTTCTACTCATTTGCGATCAAATTGTTATATGAATGCGGGTGTGCATGACTTACAAGTATCATTCTGTAAGGCTAATTTTACCTAAAGGAATGACATCAGCTGCAAAAATTTACTTAATAGGCCTATTTGCGGTGAAATCAACACATTGATCTTATCTAGAGTTCTCCATTTTAGTTTTTTTTTTATGATAGCATTGAAGGCCGGTATCGCTTCACATGACCAAAGCTTCTAGAAACACTACGGTCTTCAATGCGCTTTATCTCCGAAACGAGCACGGTGACCCCCCAATTTGTTTGCCTTTCTACATGACATGAGTTGGTCATTATCTAACTGCAGCAAAAGTTTAAAAAAAATCTGAACGTGGGAAGAATTGAGCGCGAACCATTTATCACCTTTAAATTGAAGAAAGCCTCACAATAATACTTTACTAAGGTAGAAAAACACTAGCCTGTTCCAGGCTCTCGTATAGTGGGGACGAAGCGAAAAAGCGAACGGCCGCGCGAAGGTAGTCCGTTCGCTTTTTCGCTTCGTCCCCACTATCCGAGAGCCTGGAACAGGCTAGAAAAACACCAAAGAGGTGATAATAAACCAAACAGGAACAAGGATGGTCGAGGATAGAGAAGATTAAGATGGATTGTGAACGATGAGCTTGAGATGCGCTATCCGTAACGTAGCCCCTTTAATGTGCGCTAAAAGGATGCTTGATCACAGGTTAACATTTTCGGCGTGAATATACAGCTGTTTCGAGAAAGGTTGTCGGATAAAAGCGCACGCGACAATCCCGAAAGGTATTGTGGGTAGTTTTAAGTTCACGGTTCCTTGACTTCAGCATTTCATGGAAATCTGAAAAAATGGCACGAGATGCCATGGACGTATGTTTCCGAGTGGTAAAAGAAAGCAACAAAAGTAGGTTCGGCAGCTACCGTCAGGAACGTACCTTGCTGATCATATCCCCGATTACCTTTCGGGATTAATTGTCGCGTGCGCTTTTTCCGACAACCTTTCTCGAAACAGCTGTATACTCGATCGGCTACTCACAATTTCGTGCAAGAAGCCCCGCCATGAAATTGACCATAATCAAGAAAAATCACTCGAATCAATTAAATTTTAAGAGGTTTAAAGAAGGAATAGAAGAAAGAAAATGATTTTTGGAACACCAACAGACAGTTGATACCCACGCGGGTGCTCTTGCGTGGGTATCAACTGTCTGTTGGTGTCCATCTACTAATTTTTAACTCCAAATTCTAATTTTAAAACTACATTAAATCTTCAATATTTCTTATTTCCCTAATTTTTACAACTCCTTTGAGAAAAACTATTTCCCCCCAAAAATACCCAAAAATCACCCAAAAAATTACAAAACACCCCATAACATAGGTTCATGTTTTGAGCATAGAGTTTTTGGATTGCTTGAAACGTGAATGAGAAGCGGGGAAATGGCATTCAGGTGGACCCCCGCCTTAAGAGATGTGAGATGTGAGATGCTTGATTTGTTTGTATACTTTTCTAAAGAGACGAAAAAGAGTAGTAGAACTGTAATTATGTCAAATGAGCAGAGAGATAAAAGGAGCCGACTGCGGATATCGAAAATGCGTGCGCGGTGTTAATTTCAATACATTAATTACAAACATGTCTTAAAGTTTGCCAAAGAGCTTTTGAATGCCACAGCAAGGGAATGAACTGTGACAATTTAGTACTCGCCAACTCTATTGACGTCCACAGAGAAATGAATCGGAAAGAAAACGTGAATAATCAAATTACCAATAGTTAAGTTTAAAATTTAACAAGAAGGTAAGATTAATTAATGAGTCAGTCTGATCACCTGATCCCTGAAGTCAAGCCTTGAGTTAATTCAGAATGTGATTCGAGTATATCATTTGTCAGTTCATGACTGGAACCCTAGTGTGTGACCATTCAAATGACAGCTATTGAGCAGTTATTTCATGTGGTTCTGTTTATTATGCTGTACAAAGGTGGTTCTAACTTTTGAGTCTGTGGATGAAACCCTAGTGTGTGACCATTCAAATGAAAGCTAATTTAAAAGCAGTCCTTTCATGTGGTACTGTTTATCATATGCTATACATGTTCAAGACACCTGGTTCTATATTCATTCTGTGGATGACACCCTAGTATGTGATTCAAATGAACGCTATTGAGCAGTACTTTCATGTAGTTCTGTTAAAATATGCTGAACAAGGTGGTCATGTGAATGCGGAAACCCCAGTGTGTGACCATTCAAATGAAAGCTATTGAGCAGTAAGTTCATGTAGTTCTGTTTAATATGCTGAACAAGATGGTTCTAATTTTTTAGTCTGTGGATGAAACCCTAGTGTGTGACCATTCATATG